AAATTGATGGGCTGGGATTGAGTGAAGTTTTGATTCCTCATATATAGATGAAATTTAATGAAACAAGTCTAGGGGAGTTTCTGTTTTGGATTTCCAGTTTGAGTAAGTTCTTAGGGAGAGCTTCTCAATAGAATTGTCTAAAGGTTGGCAAGGGTTTCCCTGGGAGATAAAATCATGTAAGAGAGCATCATCTTGCATGTGCTCCAAGTGAGTTAAAATCAATGTGAGAGGATACGGTAGAGGAGTGTGCATAAGAATCACCCAGTAGATTGTTAAAATAGGATTGCTCGATGCTGTCCCTCAAGTCTTGTAATTCATAGGTTAGAGGCAGGGCTAATGAAATTTATACATCTGGGAAGCTTGGAAGTCTTGCTGATATTGAAATTCCAGGATCAAAGCACAAGATGTTTGAGCATCCTGTGAAACTTTGATATGCCGGTAGGGAGGCAGCTAAATAATCCGTAATGCCCCATATTTAGTTCTATCCTATCTATCAATCAAAATACCTGCTTTCCCAGGATGCATCTTCTTCTTCTGGGATCTAATAACAATTCTATGAATGTCCAGCTATTGAGCTCCACATGGAACTGGTGCAGGTGACATAGGATTCCCAGGTGGCTTGGTGCAGTACCCCCAACAGCATAAATGAGGCCAACTGGGATCCGTGCTCTCTCTTCTGGCAGAGACCATGGTTGGAGATTCAGCCTGACCCCTCTGTCTCCCCTTCCCTACTTCTTCTCCTGTTGGACAAATCTTTTGGCCCACTGCCCACTCATGACAGGCACCTTTTTGTGGGGGCATGTGCTCACTTTCTCACTTTAAGAACACATTTTGTGGGGCCAGCATGGTGGGTCAACCTGTTAATCCTCTAGCATTCATATTGGCACCAGGTTTGTTGTGGATACTCCACTTCCCATCTGTGACACACACACACGTACATGTCTTCTGCAGATGATGCTATGTCAAGACATTCTAACCCCCCAATCTCTCTCTCTCTCTCTCTCTCTCACAAACACACACACCAGAATACAAAAAGAGGAGCTTCAAGTAGTTCATGGAAAATGCATGTCATGAAAAAATAATAATAATGTGCAGATTTCAGACTTTTTTCCCCAGGGTAACTAGAGCTCCTTTTGTTCTGACACCTGATAACCAGAAAGATGGAGCCATGATTAGAAGCTTGGAAGCTTCAGTCTCGTTCACCTCCTCTTGAAAGTGGAGAGGCACTGCTGATTGAGTTGAGACTTGACCTGACTGGATAGAGTAATGAAGCTTGTGAACGAATTTCTGGGGCCCAACACAATAGCCTAACAGCTAACGTCCTTGCTTTGAATGCTCTGGGATCCCATATAGGTGCTGGTCCTAATCCTGGAAGCACTGCTTCCCATTCAGCTCCCTGCCTGTGGCCTGGGAAAGCAGTAGAGGACAGCCCAAAGCCTTGAAACCCTGCGCATACATGGGAGACCCGGAAGAAGCTCCGGAATCCTGGCTTCAGATTGACCCAGCTCCAATTGTTGCGGTCTCTTGGGGAGTGAATCGATGTATGGAAGATCTTTCTCTTTGTCTCTCCTCTTTTCTGTATGTCTGCCTTTCCAATAAAATCTAAGAAAAAAAAAGAATTTTTCAACTTCAGCGTTCTGTGAGCTTTTTGTTGCTGAACATAAGGTGGGCATTACACCTGGTGATCCATTGAACAGTAACCTTTTTATTATTATTTTGTAGAACAAGCTTGTGAATGGGAATGGTCTGTCATGAGTTCTATGAGCTGCTCTAGCAAAGGGGAGGATTGTGGGAAGTTTCAGATGGTAGCCAGTTGGACTATGAATAGGATGTCTGGATTGATGACTGACAGCTGCCATGGGAGATGTCTTACTGAACAAAACTCTTAATTTTTGTGATCATATCACAAAAGAATCCAACTGAGGGGTATTCAGGTGGTGTCCACCACATATTTTTGGGGCAGAAATGTTGATTTTGTTTCCGTGGTCATGGCACTTAAACTTTCAAAGAGGCAGGAATATTAACCAGGAAAAAGCCAGTATCTCTCATAGAGTCCTCACTTAGAGGATGGTGAGCTTGTTTACCCATTTTACAGTACTTTATAGCACTCATTGGCACTTTGAATCTCCTGACAGTCCATGAATCCAGCTTAAGCACGTCAACTTAGTGGCAGTGTCACGTGGGAGGGACAGGAGGAGGACAAGTTGCAGACACAGGGGAATGAGATGAGCATTGGGGAAGCTGGATCAGAAGCAGGAGACAGTGTTTTGGGTCAAATACTGCAAAGGATGAGTCACATCAGGTTGGAAACAGACTTTTGGGGTTAACACACAAGGTGACTTGGCAGGAACATCACCAGAAGATTAGATGGACAAATGTTGAGGACAGCACCAGAACGTTGAGGAGAAAGCCAGTTGAGATTGGTGGTTTCTAGGGAAGTAGAGACAGGGGTTTATGACCATAAAGCCCATCCTTTCCCCACTACATGCCCCTGCTTCTGCAAGGAGTCATGGACTGGTTGGAGAATGACCGTGGGTCCATTTCTGAGCTTTCTACCTCTGTGTTTTCATCAATGCATTAGATGAGTATGGCACAGATATCCAAGGCTCCTTCCAATTCTTTTGCTCAGTTGTTCTGTAGGGGAATGGAGTAAATGGAGTCTTGTAGATGGGTGGCTTCTGAGATGGTGCAGAAAAAGCACAAGATTTCATTGTCCACAGGAGACAATGAGGTGTAGGCTGATGTTGTGTATGGGTTTTCTGGAATGAGGGTCTGGAATACAAGACTCATAACTTGGGTTGCAGGTTAGGAAGGGACTGTGACCATAGAAGTAGAATGGTGATTTCAGCAGGGCTGTGTCATTATCAGGTTTTGGGTGCTTCCTTTCAACAGGTGTAGTAGAAAGAGCCTTTTGGGGCCCAGTGTGGTAGCCTAGTGGCTAACGTCCTTTCCTTGCATGTGCTGGGATCTCATATGGGCGCTGGCTTATGTCCTGACTGCTTTACTTCCCTTCCACGTCCCTGCTTGAGGCCTGGGGGAGAAGTAGAGGGTGGCTCAAAGCCTTGGGACCCTGAACCCCCATGGAGAGCCAGAAGAAGCTCCTGGCTCCAGTTCCTGGCTTCAGATGGGCTCAGCTCAGGCCATTGCAGCCACTTGGGGAGTGAAACCAGAAGATGGAAGATCTTTCTTTCTGTATCTCCTTTTTTTCCTGCAAGTTTAACTTTCCAATAAAAAGGAAAAAAATCTTTAAAAAAAGAAAGAGCCTTTTCTGAGATGACCCACATTGCTCCCACAGTGCCGGAGGTATGAAGGAGGCTCTGGGCACAGAGTGTTGGATGTGTGTAGAGGATCAGAGTTTGACTGAAGCAGAGGCTGTTAAGTTGATGGGGCGGCTGAGAAGCAGCAATCATAAGCAGGATGACTGTTCAGAGAGCTTGCTGTGGTAGCATTACAGCTTACACAACAGACGTGTGAAGGGCTGGCCTGGAACCAGAATATTGCATATCCCATGTTCATTTTGTAGACCCACCTGAGGCCTCGTGACCTTGTCTTTCCCAACCATATCATGGGCATGTGCGTGATCTCTGGCAAGGCCAATGAAGGAGCAGAAGGGTAAAGAACCATTGCGAACAACTTCGGTAAACTTAAAAAAATCATGTTTTGCATTAAAATACTCAAACCACAACCCCCTAATAAACCCTTTGCAGTGCTTCTGTAGCAAAAATAAGTGTGATAGCAGCTGCTATTTCTTGTATACACTCCCAATTCATTGGAATGTAAATTTTTGGGTGCTTATTGATCCTGATGAACAGTAATATGTAAGTAATTACATGTTAATATAGAGATACAGACATAACAGTTTCTGTTTGGAATGAGTTCTTTTCCTATTATGATTAACAATGAGATGGCCTTTGGCTCAGGAGGATTCCTTATTGAAGTAGTTGAACATCAGTGTACATCAGTGAGGATAATTTGTGAAGAACCTGATCATGGCAGAAGATGATGTACTGTCTCCAGGTATCTTTCAACTCAGAGGCTCTTTATGGTTGGGCAAGAAGTTTCCTTGCTTTTTAGAAAGAAGGATGCATTTATTAGAAAGAAAAACAGAGAGAGAAAGAGAGAGAGAGAGAGACAGAGGGAGATAGAGAGAGTGCTTCTGACTTCCTCCTGATCTCCCACATGTGTGACAGGGACCTAAGGATTGCACCATTCTCTGTTGCCATCCAGGTAGACTGGAAGCAGAAAGCAGAACAGCCAGGACTGGCATGAGCACTCTGACATGGGATGTAGAAGCTCAGGCAGTGGCCCAGCCCACTACTCCACCATACCAGTCCCTTCTTTGCTTTTGAGGCCCCACTTAAATATCCCCATCACCAGGCTCAGTCTCAGCATTACTCACCCCTGACTGATTGGCTACCAGGATAAATGATATCACCTCGTTATCCCTCCTCATAGTACCCCTTTGATGGCTACTCCATGCTGTCATTTGATAGAGAAAATTGTTTACATGGTGTCTTCTCTTTGAGTTGGTAATTTCTTTGAGGTCAAGGATTATGTCATGTTCATGTTCTCCTTCTATCATGAATAGACCCTTGGACATAGCATACGCTCAATACATATTTATTAAATGATGAATCATTGGAAGAGTGAAGATTAGGTGTCCAGAGATTTGTTCCTCCAACCAACAGTCATTCACATGAGAATCACTCAGATGTGTTTTCACAAAGACCCAGGGATACCCACATGCAGAGAGATGCAAATGCCATGGGGAGGCCTTTTTTGTTAAAATTCCATTTTAAATTCCTGTCTTCTACTTCATAGAGGACTGGCAGGGTTACCAGAATAAATGGAAGGTTGGAGAGGAAAGAAGAACCAGGGTTATAGAGCCCAGAAAGGAAATTACCTCTTTTGGCCCCAGTGAAAGATACTTTCACAATCTTTGGTTTTGCTTGGCTGGAGCCTTAATCACAATGTAAAACTTGGCATTGTACACACTGGTTCTATCGCTTCTCGGCCTTTTGGCTAAGATCAAGTGAACACACTGGTTCTGGGATGGCCACTGGGTTGGTTGCATAGACATTTGGGATGACTGTGCCCACCTGAAAAACATAGGCACATGGGAGTGTATGCAATGGCTTTGATATGTTGTTTCCCATGCAAGTTCATGTGTCAGACCCTTGTCTCCACTGTGGTGTTGAGATAGGGGTAATGGAGCCTACTGAAAGGTAGACAATCAGGAAGCTCCATCTGCCTGGGCTAGATTTCACAGGAGTGCAGTTATTTCTTCCAAGAGTGGGTTGCTGCAAAGGGAGGCAACCCCACATACTTGTGGCTATTTCCATTTCTTCCTCTCTGTACATTGTGATGCAGCCAGAAAGGGCCTTCATCTGGACCCTAGCATCACCCTGTTTGGACCTTAATAATTCTAGAATTGGAAGCCAAATAAATCTCTTTGCTTAGAAGTTAACTATTCTCAAATATTTTGTTACAGACATGCTAAATTGAATAGGACAGTGCACTCCTAAGGTTGGAAGAAGTATGGCATGCAATACATGGGAGCCTTGGGAAGATGAACTCCTGCCTTTGGACAGGTGTGAGAAACACGAAGACCCTTCTAGTCTCCATCTTCTTTGGTGGATCTTCCCACTGAGTATCCCCAGGACTCACGTTATTGTGTTGACAACAGACCAGTTGACAACCAAAGTGGGAAGATGTGCATGCGATGCAAAACTCCAGGGTGCAGAAGATTAGCAGCATACTAGAAATCGCCATTCCAGGGTTCTAGAAGTAGAAGGCATGGAGAGGACATGAACACTTGACAGGGAGTCCAGACATGTGAGCTGGAATGGTGTTCTGTGCTAGACCAATTTCATGACTTCTGGAAAGTCCCTATGGGGTCTTGCACATCCTTGGGGAAAATATCTCACTTGGTTTTGTGCAGTTCAAGTGTGGGTTTAAGACAATTGCTATGTGAATTCACTAAAAGTGTACTGTAAGAGAAAAGTAATTATTATTTAGGGAAAACTCTTGGTAGGTTGCTTTAGGAACATTATCTAAGTAATTGGGTTTGAGTATAGAAGTGATGTGATCTTTCACATCAAGGGTTGCTCTGGCTGCTGTGCTAAGGAGTAGCGACAGCAGGCAGCAGGCTTTTGGGGAGTATAGGAGAAATGTGGTGGCTTGGGACCATGTGGAAATTGAGGAACTGGTGGAAAATGGTTCTGGATGAGATTTGAAAATAGAATCAACAACATTCTCTATAGAGTTGACTGTGAGGGATGAGAGATATATAGGAACCAATGACTACTCCAAGATTTTGTTTCCAGAAAATGTAACCACAAAATTGGTATCCATTGCAATAAGGAAATCCAGGTAGAGAAGAGTGGAAAGTGAAAGCTGAAGAACCTACATTCTGAATTTCAAGCTGATGAGAGGGATACTGGATTTTCCAACCTGGAGTGTGGGAGCTGGGGCTGTGTGTTCAGGAGTTATGGTCATAAGGAAGAGGTTTGAAGCCACTGGACTGGGTGAGACTGACAAGGCAGTGACTACAGAGAACAAAGAAGAGGACCGGTGACTGAGCCCAAGGGGTAGGGGAAAAAGAACAATCAGCAGAGGAGGTGAAGACAGCAACCACTTGGGTGGGATCAGGAAGCAGACCAAGTCCCCAGAGAGGAGGGATGATTACGGTGTAGGAGCAGAGAAGGTTTTTGGAGATGTGAAGGTGAATGTGTGATTGGAGTTGACCCGAGAGAGAACAACATTGGAGATATAAGTGTAGACACCGCTTTAAAGGAATTTTCACAAAGAGGGCTCAGTAAGTTGCATGGTGGCTGATAGGTGAAGTAGGGCATATGTAGATTCGTTGGCTTGGTTTTTATGATGAAAGCAGAAGTGTGTTTATAGGATGATGGAATATGGCTCTAGCTAAGGGAATAAAATTGGTAGAGACAGTAAGGGGAGGAAGAAAAGAGGAGAAAGGATGGGTTTGGCAGAGTAGGTGGGGGGCTGGATTAACAGGAGGTGGGGATAGCTCATGCGGAATTGCCTTGTTCAATCCAGGAACGACAAATCCCCATGTGGTTGCTGAGCTCTCAAGCTGGGACCAGTGCCACACTGAGATGTGCCTTAAAGACAGAACACATATTGGGCTTCAAAGATTTCAGTATCCCCAAAGCAAACTATTTGACTAATAAGTTTTTATATGGGTTGCAGATTGAAATAAAAATATTTTAAATGTTAGGTTACATAAACATTAAACTTAATTTCACCTGTTCTGTTTTCTTTTTAAAACACAAAAACTAGAAAATTTAAAATCACATATGTGGGTTACATTGCACTTCTACTGAACATATTGATCTGGAGTACAGGCTGGTAAATTATGATCCGTGGACCCAATTCTGCCTGCTGCCTTTGTTGTAGGTCATATCTAATCAGAACACTGCTCTGCTTGTTTACTGTTTCTGGTGGCTGCAATGGAGCACCTGTAACTACCACACAGACTGTTTGGCTGGCAAAGCCCATAGTACTCACTATCAGACCCTTTATAGAAGATGTTTGTTGACTGTATAGAAACAGGCGAGAAACCAGAGAATGGGAGTAGAGGAGCTGGTGGATGGGTCCATAGATGATCTACATTGCTGCACTTAGTCCTCCCAACAAGACCGGCAAGAGGGGCTGATGTACACAGGCAGAAACCAAGAGTCTGGAAAGGCTTGTGCGAAAAGCTGCAGGTCGATGAATTTGAGCTTTGCTGTGATTCTGACAACACCACCTCCCCCTACAGTGTTTGATGATGCTTGCTGGATCTTTCTGGCAGTTTCTAAACATAGCTGAGTCATTGGTTGAGAGGGATACTCACCACACTCCAGATCTCAATGGGAACATAATAGTTGGGAATTTTGTATGTGCTGCTGATACTTAGATCTGTGATGAACAGCAGGATTCCAACCGCAGAGCAGATTGCACTGAAGATGTTCAAGCCCACGCTGCCATTCAGCTGAGGAGGAAGACAAGGAGAGTCCAGGTGGGAGAAGAAAGCTGTCGTAACTGAGATCAGCACTGATCCAGCAAGTGTTTCTTTTATTCTCCCCAACTTTTACTGTGTAAAAAATCGCCATCTTCAATTTGTGCTTCAGCTGTAGTAAATGCCGTCACAACGTGTGACATCATCACTGCCAGCCAACTCTCTTTTTATCAAAAAGCATTTCTAAGTGTGAGTCCCTGGTATCCTATGCTTGTAAAAGGTAAAGCTGTGTTCTGTGTGTGCAGGTTTGGGTTTTGAAAAATAATGGCTTCAGCATAGGTATGCAGGTCTTTGCTGTATGACATTGAGAGCCTTGATGAGCACTGTGGCTCTTCCAGAGAGAGGATGATAAATAGTGACTACTTCTCTTAACTGTCTTTACAGAGCACAACATGGGATAAGGATTTTCAGAAATAATCTTTGGGAAACATTCAACCATTTATTCTATAGGGACAGGTAGGAGTCTTGAGATGTGATTGACTCGGCCTAGGAGCACAGAGGTTTTCTGAGCTTGGCTGGCTGGTTTTCCTTAGGGAAGGTCTGAGCTCTTTGCTCTGCTGGAGAGGAGTCTGAGCTCCTATGAGGCCCTCTTGGGAGGTTGCTCATCCTTTCGCTCTGATGCTTTCCCCAGGGGTAGCTGTGTTGTCCTTTCCCCGCCTTGACCACCTGCACATCCAGGCTCACGTGAACTGCATGTCTGAGCCAGCAGTTGTGTGTGAGCCCTGTGTCTGGTTACGTTATTAGGACCAAGGATGAGGGAGGAGGAACTGTAGCCCTATTTCCTTCCTGATGACATTGTTCCATGGGGCTCTGGCTGAAAGAGCCAGTCTTATGGTGGGCTTACCAGGCAAGAAGACTTGGGCTGATTTTCTGCTGCCACTGAGACGGATCCTGAGATGATAAACTGGAATCAAAGAGAGGGTTGTTCAGAAAGAGGTCGGGGTTTCAGACATGCTTCCTCAGGCTTCTGTGGTTCCTGTCATACACAGATGGTCTCTGTCCCTTTGCTGGGGCCAACAGCTCACCACAGGGAATACAACAAGTGAGTTTTTTTTTGCATCATATGACAGGGAAGTGAAGATGGATAAACAGATTATAAGGTCTAGCCACCTATTCTTTTTAGAAGATTTATTTATTTTTATTTGAAGGCAGATTTATAGTGAGAAGGAAAGTCAGAGAGAGAAGGTCTTCTATCCACTGGTTTACTTCCCAAATGGCTGCAAAGGGCAGAGCTGAGCTGATCCAAAAGTGGGAACAGAGGTTTCTTCCAGGTCTCCAACATGTGTGCAGGTCTAAAGGATCTGGGCCATCTTCAACTACTTTCCCAGGCCATAATTAGAGAGCTTATCAGAAGTGGAGTAGCTGGGATATGAACTGGTACTCCTATTAGCTGCCAGTGCCACAGGGTGGAGAATTAGCCTGCTGAGCTACTACATTGACCTCCAGACCTGGTTTTCAATTCTGACTTCTAACTCATGTGCTCATTAATCAAGTTATAATTTTCTTATCTCAAAAATTGATACTGGGGGCTGGTAGTGTGGCATAGCAGGTTAAGCCTCAAACTATGGCACTGGCACCTCTTATATAAGCCACTTTGAGTCCTAGCTGCTTCATTTCTGGTCCAGCTTCCTGCTGATATGCCTGGGGAGGCAGCAGAAGTGTTTGGGCCTCTGTATCCACATGGGAGATCTGGAGGAAATTCCTGCTATTGGCATGTGGGCATCACAAGTGGCGATGTTGACTGTTGAGCCAAATGCCTGATGCAGGGCTGAACTTTGGATGTCCTTACCAGTTCTTGTGAGTCGCCTTTGTTTTGGAAGAAGATATTCACAATTTGGGTGGAATAGATGGTCTTGAAGCAAGAAGGCAGAAAAGCACCAAACTGCCCTGCAATCAAAAGCTAGGAAGTTGTGAAGGCTGAGAGTATAGAGCAGCCCAGCAGGAATTTGAGAGGACAGGACAGCTGCCCAGTGCTTGTCCACATGCAGTAGTATGTAATGCTCAATATCAAATCTTTGTGTATATGGGGCAGGTGGAAAACTGAGAGTCACAGCAACAATGAGCTGGAGTGGAGGGCGATGCACCTTTAGTGGAGTCACAAACCACTCTGAGAATCCAGCTGAAGATGTGCAGCTTGGCAGAAAAACACAACACATCTGACACATTTGTACTTTGCTAGGAGGAACTTCCATAGAGACAGCCTGCAATCCACGGCAGCCCTGGCTGTTGTGGGGCTGGGAGGTCATGGCTGGCCCCTGGTGATAGAGTCTTTGTCTTGGAGTTCAGGCTGGTGGGCCTCTGTGGGTTAACACTTTTTTTAAAGATTTATTTTTTATTATTTTTTCATTGGAAAGGCGGATATACAGAGAGGAGAGACAGAGAGGAAGATCTTCCGTCCGATGATTCACTCCCCAAGTGAGCGCAACGGGCCGATACTATGCCGATCCGAAGCCAGGAGCCTCTTCCGGGTCTCCCACACGGGTGCAGGTTCCCAAAGGTTTGGGCCGTCCTCGACTGCTTTCCCAGGCCACAGGCAGGGAGCTGGAAGGGAAGCGGGGCTGCCGGGATTAGAACCGGCGCCCATATGGGATCCCGGGCGTGCTAGGCGAGGACTTAACCACTTGTGCCACCGCTCCGGGCCCTGTGGGTTAACACTTGAGTACCACCTGCACATGGGTGATCTTTTTGTGAATGAGAAAAAGGCGCCAACTCTGGGTTGATTAAACAAGAAAGGTGGGTAAAGTAAAGAAGTTGTTCCTGCTGAATGGGTGACCACTTGCAGGGTTGTTATGTGACATTAGGCGCTGAACTGTATCCCTTGGTCTTTCCCATCTTTTTGTTGTTGTTGTTTTGTTGTGTGTTGAAGTCCTAACCCTCAGGACCCTCAGAACATGGCGAGACTTGAACATGTTTTCAAAGGGGCAGTTAGGCTAAGTCCATTAGAGTGGATTCCAGTCCAATATGAGTGGTGTCCTTAAAAGAGAAGATGAAGACACAGTACACAGAGCAAAGACCACGTGAAGACAGAGGAAGAAGATGGCCATGTGCAAGCCAGGGAGCGAAGCCTCTGGCATCTTGACCTCGGACGTTTGACCTCCAGAGCTGTGTGATCACACACTTCTAGGGTAACCCCTTGTCATGCCAAGGCTTCTGGAACCGGGCACCTTCTGCAGGGCACAAGTTGCATGAATTGACAAGGAAGCCCAGGGCACCTTGACACCCTCCAGGGGAACTCCTGTGCAGGGAGCCCACCTTGCTTACCCAGCTGCCCCCCCAGAAGGGGAAGCCTCCGTAGAAGGAGATGGGGATGTAGAACTCGGAGATGATGGTGGCCATGATTCCGCCAAGGCCGATGTGTGCCAAGCCAATCAGGATCTGGACCGCCTGTTGAGAAAGTCATGCGTTGAAGCCTTTATTTCTGAGCTTGGACCTCACTTCTCTTTGGAGGTATCTTTTCCTTTTAATAAATATTTTGTTGTCCTGATCTAAAAAGTCATATGTGAAAAATGAAAACAAGATAAAAGCTACCCACAATCTGCTGTTTTCCCTAACATACACCTTGAGATTACAAACCAGCTGGGGACTTTGTGAAGGCACTCTTTCACGATGAATGTCTCTCCAGGGTACCATGCATGCTTCAGAGTTTTTGGGTCTTCCTGATGTTTGGAGGAGGAGCTGGAACAAATATTGGACTAGTGGAATTGCTTCTCTTTATATTCTGCTTCATGTTGCAAAGTACGGTTAGGTGGTGTGGACAGCAGTCTGGGAGTTCCTCTAATTCTTTCCTACTGCCTTTAGAGGGGGTGTGCCCTGTTTACACTTTCATGTCACACTTCCGGTCTTCAAGACCATCAGACAACACATCCCTATTGTTCTAAGCCTTTCACTTTATGGTCCCCTGTTAAGGCAGTGCCAAGACACTAATACAGAGAAATCCTGCATTAATGACTTAGAAATTATACACACAGATATAAGCCAGACATTATGCTTAATTCTGTTATCCATGAGAAAAGGGTACTTTTGAAGTACTCTTGTACTATACCATAGTATGCCTTGCGTATATGTGTGTGTGTGTGTGTATCTTGCACATATATCAGTGCAAATATTTTCATTAGTTCATGCACACTTGCTAAAAATGGTTTACTTATTTGCTTATTTAAAAGGTAGAGTGACAGAAAGAGAAGGAGATAAAAAGAGAAAGAGTGAATGAGAGAAAGAGAGAGATTTATCTCTTCTGTCCCCTGTCCAAGTGACAGTAATAATCAGGTCTGGGACAACCAGAAAATGGGGAAAAGGAACTCCAACTCCGTCGTCTGCATGGGTGGCAGGGACCCGAGTACTTGGACCGTCTTCTGCTGCCTTCCCTTCATTAGTAGGTAGCTGGTTAGGAAGCCGAGCAGCCGGGACTAGAACTAGCACTCCAAAATGGGATGCCAGTGTCGCAAGCACTGGTTTACCTGGCTGTTCTACAATAGTAGCTCTTTCATGACCTTTTTGAGGACACTCACGCATAGATTTTGAAAGTTTTACATGAAAATAAACATCTTTTAATTTTATTGTCACAAACTTTTTGAAGTTCTCTCATGCATATGTATCTACAGCAATCATGATAGCAAATATTTTCTTAAATTCTCCCAAATGCCCACAAATTATGCTTTGTTCTATTAACTAGATACTTTTAGGTCTGTCAAAAATAATTACATAAAGGGCTTCTTTGCTTTTTTTGTGGGTCTGATACATGTTATTCTTAGGATGTTCAATACCTTGGTTTAACTAACAGTACAGTGAGGCATATTTTGTCTGTTTACAATCTTTGATCACAAACCATTCTATAATAAATACATCATATTTTTATACATATACATATTTATATACATATATACAAATATATCATATTTTTTCTGGGTTTAGGCAGAATAAAAATCTCAAAAACTGAATTTCATGAATTTTGGTTTTATCCAGGTTGTATCAGTCTACTCTCCCATGAGCCATCCTTGAGGGTAGAACTGGGATTGGAGCTGGGCTGTCTGGGACATTCATCACCCTTCGGGTTCCTACTGAAATGAGCCTGCTTGCCTTACTCAGACGGCATTTCAGCCACTGTGGCAGACTCTTATTTTGTTTATTGTTGTTGGGTTTTATTGCCTATCTAACCTGTCCCTCCCCTGCCCTCTTTCTCTTATTGGGCAAAAATTAGAATCAATCCCATTGAGTTTCAACGCCACCTTGGGGGGCCTACTTTGGCCGTATTAGACTTACTTTCTTCCAGAAAAACAGATATCAAAAAGAATGCTGGCAACACAATGAACATTCAACTGCCCCACTTTTGGGATGACTTTCTTCTTCTTTCGTACATTGGCTAAATCAGAAAATATGAGGCTGAGATCTCTGGTGGTGCTACACAATCTAATAGACATGTGTTTGGCAAGCTCAGGTGAGCTCTAACTTTGCTAGACGTGGAGTTTGTGCGTCTCTCCCACCTTCCCCAACCTCCTCCTCCAGACATGTGGCTTGAGACTTGCAAAGGAAAACACCACTTACCCCTAAGGTCTTGCCCTCTTTCAAGGGCTTTCGGGCAGGCGACTCGTTCACAGTTGACATGGAACCAACTGAATTTGCAGGAACTAGATGGATTTGGGGCTGGTTGTCTGGACTCAGAGGCACCTGAGACGTGACTCCTGGGATCATAGGGTAACTCTTATGGGATGCCACCACAAACACAGAGTTGGCCATGGGGCCTGCTGAAGTCATCGAATTCATGCTCTGCAAGTAAATGCACACGTATATGCACCTGGGTTTACATTTTAAATGGTTATTACCCAAAAATAAAAAAACAACAAAAGCTGACAAGTTTGAAAAGAAAAAGCTCCCTGAAGACATTGTTGGTGGAAATGCAAATCAGTACAAACAGTACTACACCTCAGAAAACTAAAAATAAATCTACCACATGACTGAGTCATCCTACTCCTGGAAATACATCTAAAGGAAATGAAGTGAACACATGGAGGAGTTACTTGCACTCGTGAGTTTATAGCATTTCAGTTCCCAATAGGTAAGCTATGGAATCAACCTGAATATCCAGCAACTGATGATTGGATAAGGAAAATATGGGACATGTACATCCATAATCATATAAATATGTAATAGAAAAGTACTGAGCTTAAGAAAGAATGAAATCTTGACAACTGCAACAAAATACATGCAATTGAAGATCATTCTACAAGATGAAATCAGTCAGATACATGTTTTCTTATTTGTACAAGGTGTTTAATATAGATATACAGATTTTATATATGTCATATGATTTGATATGTGGTTATAAATATTGCTTCATTGAACCATATTGCATAAATGACAATATACTCTTCTCACCCACTATAAAGTGGAGGAGGGATAGTGACTGAGTCATGTGCTTTTCTTAACTTCTGTGTTGGTAGGAGTGTGATCAGAGGATCAAGCACTCATTTATTTATATACCTAAGTATCTTTTTGGTATAAATACTGTGTTTCAATAAAACATTACAAAGTAATAAATAAGAAGTTAAAAATAATCGACAGATAATAATTATATAGATTTATGGGCTGCAGTGTACATTTCAATGCGGGGAGAAATTATGGGCTCAGATTAGGGTAAGTGGGGTGTATTCTCCACCCAACATTTAGCATTCCTCTGTGTTGGCAATGTTCAATATCTACCGTTCTGGCTATTATAAAATAGATGACTAATTGTCAGCCACAGCGATGCTACCGTGCTAACGGCTTTAGAAGTGTGTTTGCATTTGAGAAGGACTTCAACTACCAGTAGCTCCTTTGAGGAGCTCTGTGAACTTTAAAGAGATCTGTTTTGATATTGTTTATTGGGCACTTAAGAGGTGCCAAGGCGTCAGGGATTCATAAATACGCATCCATTTCCTTTACTATTCACACCGGCTTAGTGTTACAGATAAGAAAATTAAGGGCCAGAGAGGGTAACTGTTGCCAGAGGTCTTCGCTGCGTTTTTCTACCTTTGGTGGTTTGCATGCTACATGATAAATGTTTCAAAGCCGGAAAGTCTTTAGGAAACACTAAATTCCACTCTGTCAATTTCATCTTTTGGAGAAAGAAGCTGAGAATAGGAGACTGAACATGAATTCCTTAAGGCTCCAGTTCTTAGTTAAAGGGAGAGCACCCGCCTCAGGGGAAGCTCATGGGCCCCACAGTGAATCCACTGGGAGTCTAACACTGCCCAACTTTCTGGATCACTTAGCTTTTTGGTGTGTTTTTCAAATTCTATCTCCCTGCCTCTTTGTCCGAATAGGGCATCAAGCTAGCACACACTCTGGAGTGGCACAGTAGAACAGTACATTCACGTTGGAACTTGCTGCACCCTCCACCCCCATTCAGACTCCCCCAAATCTCATTTGGCAGAAAAACCTTCTCATCACACCCCAACCTCACTTAGCATCCACTGGCTTGAGTCACTCACCACGCTCTCCTGCAGCCGAGTCTCCAGCACGCCTGCTCGCAACTCTGCTGTGGGGAACTTACCTGCCTTGAAGTCTGGCTAGGTGATGTGTTTAGAGGGCTCCAAAGTCCTCTTCAATTTCTTCCTTGATTCTGGTCAGGCCACCTGTTGTTTACTGCTGAAGCTTTCTACCTGTGTTTACTTCCTTTTCTTAGCCAATAAGCCGATCAGTTATGATTTGGGTTGACAAATGTTTGATGGTGCCAGAATTGCCGTGTGAGACCCGGGCACAATGTACTGAGACAGAAGCGCGCGCACACACACACACATACACACACACACACACCATGGCAGCAAGGTCAGCACTCTCCATGGGAGAACAAAGGCAAAAGAGATTTACTGGAGTTGAAGAGATTAGGGAAGACCACAAACAGAAGGTGTCATCTGAAATCTAATTGGCAAATGAAGTGAGGAGTAGAGATTCAGTGGGCAAAGCGAGGCTGGCAATTGATTTCTGTTTGTTTTCACCTAAGTCAAGGCCTAGAGACAATCAGAAACCTGCCAAGGGTGGGCATGCAATATGGCCATGGCCCATTTCCTGTGAACCACACAGGTCAAACAGACGAGCTGCTGCTGTTGGCAATGAGCACCTGCTTGAATCCATCCGTGACATGTTTCCCTTTGTATTCATATTGGCATATGGTGGACAGTCAGTAAGTGTTCACTGGTTGACAGGATAGCCAGAGCTTTGCAAGACAGCCAACTGAACGAACATCATGCAGGCAGAGGTTATGGGCGAGAGCAGGTTCCGGACTTAGCTTGGGTGTGGTTAGTAGTGAGGGATGCTCAAAGTTGGATGAAAAGTCAGAGCGAAATTTCCTGTCTTTCCCAGTTTTCTAGTAGATTTCTGCACCCTTGTTCTTTTAAAGAATCCCTTAGATAAACATTCTGAGTCTGTATATTAGTTTTTTTTTTTTATCTTTGGTATATCTTCTCCAAGTTTGGCAATATTTTGGCTTTATTTATAGTGGTTTCTTTAACTCAAAAATGTTTGGTTTTAAAAATGTTTGGTTTAGTAAAATAATACATCTTGTATTACTGAGGTGTTTTAGCTCATTGCTAGGAAGGCCTTCCTGATATCAAGATTATGCAAGAATTCCTGGGAGGGAAATAGTGGGCTCCTGCCTCTTGGATTACCACTCCCACGGGAGGGCACAAAAATTAGGACAGGGGCTGGGAGTAGCTAGACAGAAAGGCACTCAACAACATCCATGAGGGCCGCATAGTGGAGCTGGTTAGATGAAACTAGGCTTCAATACCCATCAACATGTACGAGAGCCAAATGGGATGTGGGACAGACTGGACTAGTCTGCTACACATACTGGCAAACCAGGGTAAGGGGCTGGCCTGGTGGGGGTTATTGTGGGTCACTCCAACCAGGCTGCAGCTCCTCCTGGTTTATGTGAGGGCCGAGTATGTGCTGGGCAGAATCAGGCTGGACTGCAACACCTGTTGGTTCCCAGTGGAAGTTGAGACTGAAAACAGAACAAACCCAGCAATTGCAACCACCAGCTGATTGGGGCAATGGACTGTGCTGGGCCCTGAGCTTGCTAGTACATACAAGAATCTGGTCTGGGAACACCTCAGACAAAGTTTCTTTGGGGATCTTCCCAATTGAAACCCAGGACTCAGAACCCTAACCAAGAAAAGACAGAAGACAGAATCAACCACCTCAGATATATGTTGGCAGCAAAATACGGGGCAAACGGAGACTCTATGATGGACTAGGTCAATCAGTGGATTCTTCAAAGACCTCATAGTGCTTGGAGTGGCAAGATTGGCAGCGATTTATAACTGTTGAAATATCAAAACCACTTGAGCAAGTATCTCAGAGCATGCCCCACATCCGGGACCTGGGGTGGGTGGGAAATTGGGAGGGGCTTCTCCCTTAATATCCCCCTCTTTACCTCAGACACATGAAGGAAATAATGTGGAAATAATAGTCTTACCCACTTTCCTATAGCCCTTGAACCTTTTTACTCTAACTATGTAAAGATTGTAAAAAATATAATAAAAATGCAAAAAAAAGATTATGCAAGAATTCACCTGTAGTCTTTCTAGTATCTGTGTGGCTTTTACTTTTTACATTTAAAAAAATATTTATTTTATTATTTTTTATTGGAAAGGCGGATATACAGAGAGGAGAGACAGAGAAGAAGATCTTCCCTCCGATGATTCACTCCCCAAGTGAGTGCAATGGCTGGTACTGCGCTGATCCAAAGCTGGGAACCAAGAGCCTCCTCTGGGTCTCCCACGTGGGTGCAGGGTCCCAAAGCCTTGGCCCGTCCTCGACTGTTTTCCCAGGCCACAGGCAGGGAGCTGGATGGGAAGTGGGGCTACTGGGATTAGAACCGGCGCCCATATGGGATTCCGGGCATGCAAGGCGAGGACCTTAACCACTGTGCCATCTCTCCGGGCCCTACTTTTTACATTTTTATTCCTAATACTTTGGAGTTAATCACCATGAGTGTTGTGAGGCAGCTTCAATTTTTTTTTTTAACTTTTCTGAAAAGTTTCTGAATTGGTCCAGAAAAATTGATACAGCCCATCTAAAAATACCGCTTTTGTCATATACTAAATTTCTTTTTTTAGGAATTATTTGTTTTTATTTATTTGAAGTTAGAGTGACAGAGACAAGAAAGAGAGACTGGGAAAAAGAAATCCACTGTTGTTTAATTACAGAAATTTTATAGCAAATGATAATGTCTGGTAGGACTAGTCTTCCTTCTAATTTTTTATTTATTAATTTTTTGGATTTAAAAAAAATTCTTGACTGAGTAGTGTTCCATGGAGTAAATGTACCATAGTTTCTTTATCCACTGCTCTTTGGACGGTCCCAGAGTATCCCATCTTCGAAACAAAGTCCCACAGAATGGTAGAGCTTCGTTTTGATTGGACCACATACAAGTAGAAGATAAAGGTTTTCAGAAATTCCTGAGGAGAAAACTAATAGGAAATGATGAAAACCTCTTAATGGTGAGCTAAACTTTTAATGCTGAAGCAATTCAGTAGCAAAAAGTGTTCAAAATGATATGAATTTACCAAGGATAATAAGGAAGTATTTCCTTTAGAGGGTAACTTTTTAAAAAGATTTATTTGAAAGGCAGAACTAGACAGAGAGAGAGACAGAGAGAGAGAGAGAGAGAGAAAGACATCTTCCATCTGCTGGTTCACTTCCCAAATGGCTGCAACTACTGTGTCTGAACCAGGTTGAAGGGTGAGCCAGGAGCTTGGTCTCTCACATGGGTGGCAGGG